TAATTCAAGTTACTGAGTTGAGTCAGTTGAGGAAACTCGCCACTTAGTCTGTTTCCTTGAAGTTCGAGCCTTTTTAAATTCTTGAGACCGTTGAAGCTCAAAGGAATTGTCCCCTCAAGCTTGTTGTTATCCAAGTACATCTCTTCAAGGTTGGAAAGCGAGCCCAGTGACTCCGGCACCGATCCAGAGAGCAAATTCCTGGACAGCCCGAGTCTCTGCAGCCGAGTTAACTGAGAAAACGAACCGGGAACGGACCCATTAAAGTAATTATTCGAAACATCAAAGTTCTGTAAATAAGGGAGATTCCACGTCACGTTACTGAGCGAGCCGGAGTAATAGGCCGAGTCAAGAGCGAGTTCGGTGACCCGAGAGAAGCCCTCCACGACAACATCGCACCGAAAGCCACAAGTGAATTTCTCTTTAAACAGATTGTCGCATGGATCAAGAGTGAAATCCCAAGAATCAATGCAGGAACCTTGGGTAACTGAGTTGGGATCGACGCTGTTCTTGAGCTGCTTCAAGATTTCTACATCTTGCCAGTGCGTGGTTGAGTTCACGTCCATGAGAAATTGTACCAAAATGAGTACGAATGTAATTAAAGAGAAGGAAGGCATGGAGGCGAAAAAATGGTTATACATTTGAGAGAGAAGATGAAGGATGAAGGCTTGCTCAGTGCTTCTGCAAGAGAGCGAGTAGTGATATGGTGAGTGGGGCTTTAGATATACACAGAAAGAAATCTTTTGATGAGGGGTTTTCACGGTTAAATAGCATTACTTTTTTATCTACATGTTCATTATTTACAATTTAGGACTTAGGAGACGAGACCAGTTTCATAAAAAGTATAAAGTGTAATTAGACGTAGAAGTTAAGTTTGAAGTTTATTTTCTTATTTTTAATACTATTTTAATATTTAATAATTCTAAAAATTATGTAATCATTAAAATAATACATATCAAATAGCAAAAGGACGAATTCGTTCGAGGAGGAGCTTGCATTTGATTAGTTAGCAAGACAATAACTTATTAAGGCAATTATTAGTAGTTGGTCCAAGAGGATGATGAACTATACCGAGACAAGGACACGGCCCATAGTCCTATGAGAGATGGTAAAGAGGAATTTTTGGTAAATGGCAAAGAACCAATCTACATGTACCTCTTCCCCTACCTGTCATAGGGGGCCAGTTAGCCCTGGTACAGGACCCATGTGGCCCTGTTCTTGTATCATTTTCCATTAACGAAGTCAATTATAATAAGTGGAAATTATAAAAATAGTCAATTTTTAACTTTGTATTTACAAATATGTCACTTTTTTTTTGGCATTGCAAGAATGTCAATTTTAGACATATTTGCCCCTCTAAAGAATCTCAAATACCCTACAGGTCCTAATGAAATGAGAAATGACCAATGGAAGAAATTGTACCAAAATTAAATGAGATTTGACCCATGTGCAGAAATTGTACAGAAACCTGCCATGTTAATTTGAAGAAAAAGAAAAAAATTAGACCCAATACCAATGGAAAAAGTTGTACAAAAATGAGCCCCAATTTTTATACCCTCGTTCATACTCTTTCTCTCTTCCTCTCTCTGCGGCCGGTGCATTCGAAGATCCAAGAAGGTCGAAAGTCCACATCTTTTTCAAGTCGAAGATTGCCGTCATCAACTCACCATCCACGCCGCTGCCTGCGTAGCCCTGCCGTACCGGTATGAAATATAATTTGTATGTCATATGCGTTTAGATTTCAATATTCTTTCTCTTTTTTAATTTTGCATCCAACAATTTGTTAAGTGAAGTGGGCTGAATTGGGGCTAATTTATTGAAGTTTCGAAAACCATTTTGAAGATTGTAATGAAAATGCAATATCCAATTTCCAGTTTTATAAAGAAACTGGAGGGCGAAGTTAGAAATAGGAGATAAGTCGTGAAGATTTGACTTGAAATTTTCATGGAAAGGCTAGAATGTGATGTAATGACTCCATTTATGAATCTGATGAGGTCATTATCGATCAACTCCAAGTTTTGCAAGTTCTGTAATTTGAGGAAGAAAGTTGGAGTCTTGTCTTGTTTGGATCTTAAAGGTTCTTTCTGAAATACATAGAAACTCTATTTCATAACGTGGTTTTGTTTTTCTTTTAAACATTTTCCTGGGAAGATGGATTATTTTGAGGTTATGCCTTTTCATTTGACATCAAGGATTCTGCCTTCTATAGAGAAGATGAGGCACTTTTACAATACTAGTAGCATTAATTGGAATTGGAGTTTTGCAACTGTCATTTAGGTTTAGGATTTTTAAGTTTTGTTATTGACACATATTACAGAACGACAAAATAATTGGAGAATGTGTATGGCAATTGGACGAACTTACTTGTATGAAAACAATATTATGTATTTTATGGATTTAATGAATTGGGTTTTGATTTGTTTTCCACTTTTCAATCAAGTATTGTAACTTAAACTCAAAGCAAAGGGGGCTTTTTTAAAATTTATTGTTGATACTCTAGATAAAACTTGAACATATATGTATTATTTATTAATAATAATTCTTTACTTTGAGATTAAGATTAATAATTTAGTATAATGACATAAAGAAACGTGACTCATATCTCATTTGACATAATTTGTAGGTGCGAAATGTATTTAATCTATCGTCACGTTTAATCTAAATTTATCTTCCATAATTAATGTTATAGGTTAAAAAATTTTCCGTCGAAACTTACTTTTCTAGCGAATGATTTGGATAATGGCTTTCTGAGATCCTGTGGGTTGTGGGAGTTCATACAATGTTACAATTACGTTTGTTAGCATAAATTTCTGCTTCCATTTATGTTTTCGTGCATCTTAATATATTTTTTCGTTGTGGAGTTTAATTTCATAGTTATCATATGTAGGATGCTATTGAAGCCTTGGTAGAAGAGGCATTGCCAAAGCCAACACCAAGTCGGAACTCATCGAAGATTACCCGAGCAACTGAAGTGTATAATTTGTCTCAAAAAGGTTCTTTTTTATAGACAGAAAATTGTAGTTTTACTTCTTTTTTTCCTTTTATGTTTCATTTTGAAGTTTGTATGAATATATTCCAATCTGAGTCCCGTGTTTTGAAATTATGAGATGCATTTGGCAGAGGAGGAGGAGCAGGATTAATGGCAACACAAAGTCGTTCCAAAATCTAATTCCAAATTCAAACAAGGTAGAAACCACAAATTCTTTTATTTTCCTCTTTAGTGGATAGTTGTAGTGTTGATTTCATTAAATCTAATGGGGTTTATTTTGTTATTTCCAAATGTTTATCTTTTGCAATTGTGTTAGACGAACAAGGCTTCAATGCTGGATGAAGCAATTGAGTACCTCAAGCAGCACCAACTTCAAGTACAGGTTTGCACTTTTTCTGTTTTGTGGAAAATAAAAGAAAACGATAGAAGTCTTGCCTTGTGGTAAAATGTTATTGTCAAAGCTTGGAAATCAATATGTTTGAAGGATTAGTGCTAAATTTTTGTAATTCATGTGAATTATTAAGTTACTATTCCATTTGCTTATGCTTTTGTAGTGCACTTGTCGGGTTTCATAATCTTACTGGCAGGCTATTCATGGCATGATGAATTGGTGTTTAAGTGATTAATTGTCTTGTCACTAATCCACTTATGACTTTTTTGGTTAAGTGATTAAACCCTCTTCACATTTGTTATTATCTGTCTTCCCATTTCCAAACATTTTGTGTTATGTTATTATTATTATTTTCTGGGAATTAGACGGGTTGAAAATCTCGTGGACTAAGTTGGGGTTTGGTCTATGGGGTATGTTTTCCTATTTTATTGTGGTTGAGCTTTTGTTTGCATTGGACAGAAGACACGAACATCGAAACATCTTGTGCTTGTGGAATTTTGCATCCCTCTAATTAAATTAAATTTTCATGGAATGTCGATGTATAACTTCATACATACATGGGAATATTTGGTGCAGCCAATTCCCGCGACTGCAAAAGTCAATTAATGTAATACACGTTGTAAAGAAGATTTGGTTTCCGATGATTTCATTTGGTTTAGGGAAAAACTCTCTCATCCTAGGATTTGGTTGCTCAATTTGATGGAATACCTAGGATGGATAAATAGTTATTTTTTTCATTTCATCGATTGTCTCAATTACTGTTGACCATGTTGAGGTGTACAAAATATGGTCATTGATTGTCTTAAGTATTTGTCAAATAGTTGAAGTGTATGATATTGTGTCCTACCTACTTTGATCTCTAAAATTGTTTCGTTGAAATCACTTGCATACATATCCTTCACTATTTCATATTGAGTCTCCATTTATGCTCACTTCTTTTAATTTGTTTCCTATTTTTGATAATAAGTACGATAACTTGAATGGCTACGAATCCGTAGGTCCTTTTCATTTTTTTCGTATACTCTACTTCTATGTTAGTAATGATCATCATAGTGTTGCCGACATTTGTCAACACTCTTTCATGTCAGATCATTTGTTTAGGGGAATAATTATGAACATGTGTTTCTAACTTCGGTGGTGCGGTCATATTCCGGACACATTCATAGGTGTTCTATTCCAAGCCTCTCGTTTGTATATACCAGGTGAGGATTCGTAACACTTTCTTTCATTTTCAAGTGGGTTAGACATATGGGGCGTTTTTATATGTAACTTACGTTAAAACATATGGGGTTAGACATATCCTTCGTCATGATGTTGTAACGGTGGCCACTAAATAGTGCTCGGGACCAAAATGAATAACCCGCACGCTCTAAGTACCCGTGCGCTCTTGTACCCTGCGGATCTGTCTCATGAGTTTTTCAAAGTCCTCAACTCGATATGTCATAGCAACTCGTTTGAATAGAAGTATTGCACTTGCATTGCTGTACTGCTGTATGAGGTTCTTTTCAAGATGCCAGATACAACAACCATGGTGAGACAACGGAAACAACTGAGTAATAGCTTTGTCAATGCTCTTTTTTCTATCTGAAACAAATACGAGGTCTTCAAAGTCCCCTATAAGCTCTTTCAAGTTGGACATAAACCACTTCCAGGATTTATTGGTTTCAGCATCCACGATCCCCCATGCGAACGGATATATCTGTTTGTTACCATCTTGGGCAGTTGCCAGTAGAAGTGTCCCTTTGTATGGACCCTTCAGATGACTGCCATCAACACAAATAACGGGTCTCAAGTACTGCGTGTAACCACGAATGCTTGCACCGAAAGCTAGGAAAAAGTAATGAAATCTATTTTGAGAATCGAGTTCTATGTGGGTTACTGTCCCCGGGTTACTCTCTCCTACGACGTGGCAGTATGAATATAATTTCTGAAAACTGGCTTCCGGTGTACCGTGTAGTATAGTTAAGGCATGAAGCTTTCCCCTACGAGCTTTGTTGTAACTGATTTTCACACCGAACTCACGTTCCATATCATGTGCAATAGCGATAGGGTCATATGATCGACCTGGAGTATCCAGTTTGCCTAAAATGTGCTCGGCAATTATGCCAGTAGAAGTGTCCCTTTGTATGGACCCTTCAGATGACTGCCATCAACACAAATAACGGGTCTCAAGTACTGCGTGTAACCATGAATGCTTGCACCGAAAGCTAGGAAAAAGTAATGAAATCTATTTTGAGAATCGAGTTCTATGTGGGTTACTGTCCCCGGGTTACTCTCTCCTACGATGTGGCAGTATGAATATAATTTCTGAAAACTGGCTTCCGGTGTACCGTGTAGTATAGTTAAGGCATGAAGCTTTCCCCTACGAGCTTTGTTGTAACTAATTTTCACACCGAACTCATGTTCCATATCACGTGCAATAGTGGTAGGGTCATACGATCGATATGGAGTATCTAATTTTTCCAAAATGTGCTCGGTAATTACAAAACTAGTGGCATACCGATGTGCGTTATGACGAAAATCAAGGCAACATGTGTGCACGTTGATGAATTTACGGATCATGAAGATTGCAGATTGCTTGACAGTAGAAGCACGTAGCATCCACTTGCAATTATCATCCACACATACAACGGTTAACATTTTCATGCTTGACTTGCTCACCCGAAATTGAAACTTCTCTTGCAAAGCAAGCACACGAATCTTCGAGTACAATTGTTTCTTGCTAAAGAATATTTACTTTTCGACGAGAACGACGGCTGTCATCCACTCATCTGTGCCTAAACTCATGGAATGTGATAACACTGGCTGGTCAATTTCAGCAATAATAACGATGTGCGTTACGACGAAAATCAAGGGAACATGTGTGCACGTTGATGAATTTACGGATCATGAAGATTGCAGATTGCCTGACAGTAGAAGCACGTAGCATCCACTTGTAATTATCATCCACACATACAACGGTTAACATTTTCATGCTTGACCTGCTCACCCGAAATTGATACTTCTCTTGCAAAGCAAGCACACGAATCTTCGAGTACAATTGTTTCTTGCTAAAGAATATTTACTTTTCGACGAGAACGACGGCTGTCATCCACTCATCGTGCCTAAACTCATGGAATGTGATAACACTGGCTGGTCAATTTCAGCAATAATAGCATCATTCGTACCATGTAACAGGTTCTCTAAGTGCTCAACGGATGCTGCAGCC